AGGTCCAAAAAACTACCAGCGATCAACAAAAAAAGAAAAAACCTGACATGGACTGATGAACTTGCAAATGAACTTCATAAGCCTGTTGTAAAACATTTTAGAAAAAGAAAAGTGATTGCAAATGGGATTGATGAAATATGGGCTGCTAATTTAGTTGACATGCAAGCTTATTCTAAATTCAATGACGGTATAAAATACTTACTGATGGTGATAGATGTATTTTCAAAGTATGGATGGATCGTTCCATTGAAGAGTAAAACTGGAGTTGAAGTTGCTCACGCTTTCAGTAAAATATTTAAAGATAGAAAGTGTACAAGATTATAGGCAGAAAAAGGCTTAGAATTTTATAATAAGCATTAGGTGTGCAGCTCTATTCGACTGAAAATGAAGAAAAAAGCTGTGTAGTTGAACGATGGAACAGAACAATGAAAGAGAAAATGTTCAAGTACTTCACTGCTAACTCTAATAGAAAATACATCGGTGTTTTAGATAAAATGGTAAATCAATACAACAACACAAATCATTCTTCAATTAAAATGACCCCAGCTGAAGCAACCAATAAAAAGAATGAAAATATAGTATTTTTAAATCTAAATGGTAAAGTGAAATCAAATCCTATTAAACCCAAGTTATCATTAATAAATCAAGAGATATTTAGAATTGAAAAGGTTATTCATAAACAAGGAAACAAATCTTTGGTAAAGTGGTATGGCTATCCTGATACTTTTACCTCATGGGTTGATAATAAAGAATTGAAAAAATCTCTAATAAAATCTATAAAAAATTATCTTGTATATATAAAAAATGCAAACCTCCAATGTATGTGAGTATATGCGTATCAGCTACTTCTGGTCATGCTAATACAAATATTACTGTGACAACGACAACTTCATCTTGTAGTAAATGATGCAAGAAAAAAAATATATACAATAAAATAAATTTATTTGAAATGATTTCTTGACATAATATAAAAAAATGATAGATGACGAAAATTTAATGCAAGAAAGCGCAAAAGATATAATGCGACAAATGAGAAAAAAAATAAAACAAATAGAAAAGAAAAAAAAAAATTGAAGGAATGCAAGTAAACATAAAAGAGATAGAAAATATCAAAAATAATATTCAAAAAGAAATGAAAAAGATGAAAAAGATGGAAAATATAGTAGATATGATGCAAGTAAGCATAAATATGATTAAAAATAAAGAAGAAATGATACTAGAAGGAATAAATCGAGAAGGAATAAAAGATATAGAAGAAGAGAAAAAAATAGTAGATAAAATGAAAATAAAATAGAAAAAATAGAAGATAAGAAAAAAGAAATAGAGAAAATAAAATAATCCCAAATGAAATTAAAAAATATGTAATACATTCTATAATAGATAAAGTAAGTTATATCATTTGAAGTGATGTGGATAATGTAAGAAAAAAATATTTATTTAAAAAAAAATGTACAATAGAATTTTTTTTTTGAAAATGACATAAATAAATTTCTTCACATAAAGAATGGAAAACGAAATGCAAAACGAATTGTTTTATGAAAGTGATGATAATGAATATAAAAGCAGAGAGAGTGGTTTAGATGATTTTGGATATGAACCAGATTATGAAGAAGAAATTGCTTACAAAAGAGAAGAAAGAAGAAAATTTGAAGAAAAAACGCAAGAAAGTCTTATAAGACAAGGAATAGTAGTAACAAGACAAAGATTAAATGATTGTATAATAAACGAAAAAAAAAGATTAAGAAAAAAAAGAATATTAAGAAGAGAAAGAAATACAACATATGACGAAAGAATGGAAAGAAAGAGAGATTGGTTTCATGAAAAATGGAATGTAATAATATTACAAGATGGAATAGAAGAATTTCATAGAAGATATCGTAAAGAAGAAAAAGAAAACTTGAATAAGTATCCCGGCGCATGCGCACTGACAAGTCACGTGACCGATGTCGTCACACACTTTCAATAAAAAAAACGAAATTGACACTAATTTGAAAAATGATTTTTAAATTTAAAAAAATTGATTTTAAAATTTATTTCTTAATTATTCAATTTATACACACAATGAATGACATTGCACCATAAATTTAATTAAATTTATGGTTGAAAATATGGTCAAAATGAAAATGAGGCAGAACTGTCATCTACTACTTATACATTTATAAATAAGATAAAAATTAAAAAAATGACAGAAGCAAGTAGAAGACTACAGTCTTATCATTAAGCCCCTTTTATTTGTGATTTGCAATAAGTTTTACGTGAGCTTAACGCAATGATGTAAATAAATAACTAGATATCTAACTTCGCCGTTTTTAGTGAAGCCAATTTAATGCGTTGGAAGCCATTATTATATCGGGCAAAAAGCTTTTAGCGATCACATTCTTATAAAAAGATATTGGCAATTTTAACGTCCTTATTCTTGGAATTAAAGATGATTAGAATCACAAACGATCAATTTAGTGAGCATACAGTCAATACATACATATTTGTTAGTCAAAGATTGGACATGCTAACGTTAGCATGTTAAGTTTGTTATAACAAACTAAAACAAACGGCTATTTTTATAGCCACAAAAATATATATTTAAAAACATATTTGCATTTAGAACATCAAACTAAAACATCGTATAACATATTTTATTATTTTAATTAAAGTTTTATACAATAAAATGAAATATTCATAAACCCTTGAACAATATTAATTTATTTGTTTGTTGTCTTAAACCAATTGACGACTTACTTAGAACTTTAGTGGTATAGTCCTGAACATATCTGAACATTCGAATTCTAAAGTAATATTCACATATCTTTCTAACAAGCTGGCTGGAATGCAAATCTTCATTTTCAGTCCACAATTCTATGTCGTGACTATCAAGTCCTTTAAAGACTTTTTTTTTAATAATTAATTTGTTAACACAATGGAGCATCTTATGCTTTATATTTTTATCTGAGGTTATTTTTGGATTTTTAAAATCTTTACCACTAATAAAGAAGTTAAATACTTTCTCACACATCTCTACAACAAAAACAACATCCCTTGATGGCAAAAACAAACCACCACGATTTTTCACATTATTTAACGAAGAATGAGATTTCGCATAGGAATGTTCGTATGATAAAATATCAGTTAATGATTGAGCACAAACATTACATGAAATAGTATTTATCAAGTTTCTGACTATAAAACCAGAAATATATCCCAATATTGCTTCTTTGTAGCTAGACATTTGAAGTTCATCGCAGTACAAAAGCACTTCTTCAAAGTCAATATCCTCTTGGTCAAAATTATCAACAGAACAAAACCTTTTTTTCCAACTAAGAGAAAAAATAGAGCCATTAGAATATGGCTCAAACATTAGGCAGTTAGCATGACTCGATCCAACAATGGAGTTTCGCAGAAGAATCCGTTTTAACGATGATTTTAACTGCACTACCTCAGGATTGTTGTTGTAACCATTTTTTCCACGAATGCAAGCAAATAGTAGTTCAAGATGATCTTGGGAATATTTGTAAGTTAGAACATACTTACATGGCTTCTCATGAAGTGTTAACAGATCGAAGGATAATTTTAGAGTGCTTTTAGCATCTACAATTAAACCTAAAACAAATGTCTTTCTTCGATGTAAAAGCAATGGAATGCCATTAATATCAGTCAACTTGCTCAGATAAGTAATCGTAGTGTTTAAAAAATCTTTCCAATAAAGCTGATTATTTAGATATAGAGGTTTCTTAAAGTGTTTACCATTTGGATTTCTGGAATTGAGCATGTCAAATAATTTATCAATAACTCTTATAAAACGGATTGTACTACTTGCTCCTAAGAAAGATGGATGCTGCGATACCATTAAAAATTCAATTGCATCAGCAACAGAGCTGCTAAGTGTTTGGCCAGCTATCTTAACATTCATTTTGTGGCGATGAAATTCAATATGTTTTCTTGAAATTTTGTTTGCAAATTTTAAACCTTCAAGCTCTTGTAACTCAAACAAAGCTTTAATATAACTCCATTTAATATAGCAGCCTTCATCATCAATAAAAACACCCAAATCATTTAGAGAATTTCTAGCTAATTTAAGCATATGGCATGGGTCTAGGAAAATGTGGAGCAGTTGGTTGTTATATAAAAAAGTACTAACTATATTGTCTATGACATTGCCAAACTTACATCCAAATGGGACAACGGAATTTAAATTTGTACTAGTACCATCAAATGTAATACTTTTGATACAAAGTTCATATGTCAAAGCCACATCTAAAATATTTTTGATAAAACATGTTAAATCACTTGCTTTAACTTTATTTGATAAAACATAACCAATGGGTGTTTTCCAATGTCCTCGCAAACCAACTAACATAAAAATTAATGCCTCTGTAGCTGGAGTATCAGGTTCACATACAGAAATATCTTTACCAAAATCACAAAAACCAATATAGTGACCTGAACTTTTGTCATAAATTATACTGTTTTTGATTGCCATAGCATCAATAATAAGAGCACAATGCTTAAAATTAATATCTTTTTTCTGTTTATCACCAAGATATGAAAAAACATCAAGGAATAAACCGGGATCACAATTTACAGATGATGTCAAATGTGATATTGAACTGGCAGCAGGAAGACATAACATTGGCCGAAAAAAATTATACGCACGAGGAGAATAAAAATGAAGAGTTAAAGCGAATTTTTTTACTTCATCGTTGTATCTGTGACCTTTTGGGTTAATATTTTGATTGGAAAATTGGTTCTTAATAATTTCATATGAGAGTCCAGAAAAATTTTCGCTTAAAACAGTTCCAGCATCAGTAGTCAAATAATTTTTAGATTTTAAAAGGGAAACCATGTCTTGTAAAGAGCAGATTTTCTTTTCTTTTCTTCTTAATTTTTGTTGTAAAACCTTAACTTTTTTTTTTAATTTTTCTTTTGCTGGTGATAAAGATTTTATAGATTGTGTTGGAGATTGACTAGTGTGGTCATTTTGTTCAATAGTGCTTTCTGGCTGATCATTATGTTGAATTAATTTCTTTGCTTGGTTTGTCTATAACAGGGCAAACATCAAACTTTGTTTTTTTCGAAAAAGAATCAAATTTAGATAATGAATTTACTGATGTTCGTATTGATGGGAGTTTCCTTTTAGTCTTTTGAATATTTGTAGAAAATACAAAAACTGATGGCACAGCATTACATTTTAAAATAGGCTTATGATAATGATCAAGAATTAGATTTTTTTTGTCTGGGATACAGTAATTGTAGTCTGATTCTAAAATATGGTCGCTGCAGATACAGGTGTGTTTGGATGGAAGAAAATTTTCACGTTTCAAAGCAATAATCCATTTTTTACATAATTCAGAATTTTGAAAAGGAAATTTATGAAAGGATTTCTTGCCACCTTTTATGTATCTATTAGAACATCCATATGCAGCACAAGAATTTACCATTTTGTGATGAAAATAGTTGAATTAAATAAATACTTCAGCAAGGTAAAAGAAATTATGTCGCGAATTTACTCTCTATATTATATATGATATTTACTGTTTTCTGCCCGATATAATAATGGCTGATTAAAATAGTAAACAAATAAATCGGCTTCACTTTTATTTTATAAAAATCCCGAAGTTAGACATCTAGTTATTTATTTACGTCATTGGCTTAACGTGACATTAAAAATTCATAAGTAGAAACAAAGCAAATACATAGCCTTGTGCGTAAAAAACAATGCCTTGTACGCAACGATCTGATGGTCACAGCTAGTTGTTTGTAACCGTGTACATGCTGTGTTGTACGACACTCCTTGTTTCCTGTTATTTAAGTAATTTCTGAACCATCTCAGATTGTTGTTTGTTACTCCATACATTTCTAGTTTGTGTAGGAGGATCTCGTGGTTAACTGTATCGAATGCTTTGGTTAAATTGATAAACAAGGCTAGACTATATTCATTATTTTCAAAACCATTCAAAATTTTATTGACTAATTTAATTATTGCGTGATATGTTGAATGATTCTTGCGAAAACCAAATTGCTTGTTATACAGAATATTATTTGTTTCAAGATAGTTATATAATCTATTGTACATAACACGTTCGAGAAGCTTTGAAAAACAATAAAGTATGATATAGGCCTATAGTTGAATGCTAAAGAGCCGTCGCCATATTTATAAATATCCAATGGGCACCGGACCAAAAAAAGACGTCTTTTGAACGTTCAAAAGACGTCCAAAACTTTCAAAAGACGTATAAAAGACGTCCAAAATGTGTATAAGACGTTAAAAAGACGTCTTTTTTTTGTCCCAGCCCACTGGGTAAGGACAACTCTTGCTATTTTTAATTTATTATGAAATACACCAGTTTTTAAAGATAAGTTGAATAATGTTAAAAGAGGTAATTCAATAATAATAAACCTTTTAAAGTTACAGCTAGAATTCAAAAAATATATATCACTAGTTATAGATTCAAAATTTCTGCACAAACTTGTTGTCATTCTAAATATAGAATTGAGTTACAGCTAATAGTAATTACAGCTAATAGTAATTACAGCTAAAATTAATATATTTATTTATTTATTTATTTCAGAGTAATCATTAAGAACATTAACGGATTTCACAAACTCCTGGAACTCGTTTTATTCGGGAAACTTATACCAAAACTGATGAGGAAGTTTCATCCTAATAAACTGATCCATGGTAAGGCCTAGAATGTCGAGCAACATCCCAATTTTACTTAAGTTTACTTAAATATATATAAATAAAAGTTTTAAATGTTGCATAAAAGAAAAAAATAGTAAAAGTAATAAATATATATTTCTTGAATTATTTTATTCACATATGGTTGTAGATTTGCTGCTATATTTTCATGTCTTTTTTATAAGAAAATAGTATTAAATATTAAAAGACAAACAAGTAAAAGTATATTAAAAAATCTAAAATCAAGTGTTATTATTAAATCACTTCAAGGATAGTAAAAAAACCCTAGCTATGGACAGAATATAACATCAAACTGGCAACTTAAAAGGTATGTCTCAGCGAAAAGCAAATACAACTTATAAAGTACCACGATTGACGCAGGCCAGGATCTTTAGAAAGTCTGAAATAGGGGAAAACCCAGGCAAAAAGCCAATTCTAGATTATCTTGAAGAAAATCTTATTGATTATGCTGGTAATCGTGCCTAAAAAGAAATCGGTTTGGCAAAAAAATATAGATTGGTTATGCTGCTATGTTGGCAAAAAAATATAAAAAATTTTAAAAATTGTAAATCTGGTGAAAAGTGGTGGCAACTACTTAAAAAAAGACATGGTTGTGCGAGTCTCCGTTGTCCAGAACCTACAGCATCTTTGCGACATAAATGTATAGATAGGGCAAAAATTTCAAAATATTTCAAAACTTTGGAAGGAATGATGCGAAATAAGATCTTATTCGACAAACCAGAATGTATTTGAAACATAGATGAAACAGGGATACAACTAGAGCATAAACTAAAGCGTGTTGTTGCAAGGAAGGGCTTAAAGTACATTCAGAGTCGAACAAGTAGCAACAAAGAGACTGTTACTTTTATAGCTTGCATAAATACAGCTTGTCAAATCATACCAAGTCATTTAATAGTGAAAGGAAAAACTATACGCACCCTTCATTGTTTTGATACAGAAAATGCTTCAAAAGAAGTAACATGGAGTGTGTCGGAAAAAGGCTGGACTAAACAAGGTATTTTTGAGTTATGGTTTGAAAACATTTCTTCCAAATAATAGTTCTGCACGACCATTTTAATTTTTTTTTTTTTTTTTTTTGCAGTTATTTAGGTGCTCTAGAAAGCCCTTACGGTATTATTACAGAGCACCGCGGGAGAGCAATTAACGGGAAGTTAACGCCTCCTACCGTACCAGTGTTGCTTTTTGGGTTAAAGCTGGCGACGAACCTCGGAACTCTAGCACAGATCTCTAGCACAGAACCCACACTGCGCCATGGCTGCTCAAATTCTATATTTCAAGTTCTGCTTAGATTCTAGATGGACGTGACTTGGAAAAATTCATTAAAATGACTGAGCTGGCTATTTTAAACCAAATTAAAATTGTAGAAGTTCAAGCTCATACCAGCAACTGGTTGCAGCCTTGTGACAGAACATTTTTTTAAGCCACTAAAAATGCCTCTGATGTCTGACAAACAATGGTGAATGACAATCTAAGGGTTTACGGTTTCACATTCTAAGTTTTGTGGTGTACTTTCAAAAGCATGGAAATGAGCCATGATTGATTCAAAAAAAAACTTATGACTTTGTGCTTGCGGATCTTATCCTTTCAACCCAGATGCTATTTCAAATGAGGCATATATATTCATAGTTATCTTTCCGATTGCAATGTTGCATGGGGAATTACTAATTATGGGAAGGTTAAAATAATCTAAAGCAAATAAAAACATGCAAGTAGAATTATATTTGATTGAATTATAATCTCTTTTAATAGAACTTAATACACTCAATATTTATAAACTTAACATATACCAAGTTATGCTTCTAATGTTTAAGACAAAATATGATTTATCTCCTAATATATTTGACTCTTACTTCAACAATATTACTCATAAAAACCCCACAAAGTATTCAACTAATAATTTTGTTGTTCCAAGATCTTATTTAAAACTCAGTTTGTTTCAAATTCAATTCCGTGGACCATTTATATGGAAAAGTTTTTTGAAAATTATAATTAAAAATAAAACTCTCCTAAATTTCTCATAGAACAATTCAAAAGAGAATCTAAACAATTTGCATTAGAAAATTACTTTGACCTTAAAACATTTTTTTAAATAAGTACCTATTTTTTTAAAATAAGTACCTAAAATAAATAAACTGAAAAAAGTCATCATTACTCACTTATTTCTGTTTTGATTTGTTTCTTATTTTCTTTTTATAAAAAATAAAAATAAATAACTAAACCAAAAAATATATCATATTATACGATTTACTAATTGTAATATATTGTGATTTACATTATAATCTTCAACCTGTAAATTTTTAACTTTTAATTTCAACTTTTTACATAAACTGAAGGCGACAATGTAAACGGGACTCGGCGATAAAACAATATACGTCTTCTTCTTGCTCCGACCATTTATTATATGTATGCGATCTTTTTTATTGTAGATTTTATTAAACGGCAAGGAAATAAATAAATAAATAAAAAAAGTATATATATGTATCCTAAATACCTTGTATAGTATAATTTCAGATATTGTACCAGTTCAAAATTTATGTGAGGGACCATAAACAAACAATCTTCTATCATTGCCTGATCTATCAGAGCACAACTATGCAAAAACCCTCCTGCAGTAGAAAATGAGTCTATTGATTTTAAAAAAGAAAAAAAGAAAATTGTACTGAATAAAGTTTGCTCAGTTATCAAATATGCAAAGATTAACCAAAATATGAAAGAAGGAAATTTATATTTTATAGCAATAAGTTTTTTTACTTTTTTTTGAGGTTCATTATCTGCACTTAGAATATAATGAATTAATATGAATAAATTATCTTAATTTATGCTTCCTTTTTTTTTTTTTTGCTTTATTTTCTAGATAATTGCATTGTAATAAACGAATTTGCAGGGCTCTATTAACCTGTTTAATGTGTTTTCCATTTACTGACCAATGGCTAATGAATATTTAAGGTGGCCAGAAGGTTAAGTATTTTGTAAAATTATTTATCTTTATTTTCTGCATTATATATAATTTATATAATTAAATATGAAAAAAAAAATTCTTAAAATGATATAGCTTTTAACTATCTAAAATTTGGTATATGGTATACAACATGGTATGCAATATGGTATGCAGTATAATATGCAATATGGTATGCAATATGGTTGCAATATGATATGCAATATATACTTTATATTAGTTTGCAATATATACATCAGTTATTTTCTACAATTGAAGAGTCTAGTAAAAATGTGGCCAATAATTGATAAAGATACTTTGCAATTAAAACCGTTGTGCAGTTAACCGTATTACATAATACGGTGGACTGCACAACGGTTGACACACAAACTGCTTTCAGCAATCCTCAAGAGAATAGTTAAAAGAAACTTTTAACTTAATTAGTTTTTTGGCAATCATGAAAAAAATTTCTTTTGGAAATTGGTTTGGTTTATCTGTTCAATAAATTTCTTAATATTTAGTGGGAAAATTCTATTAATTTTTTTAAAATAATTCTTGGTATTATTAAAGACACATGTTAATAGAAATAAGTTACCCACTATATTCGATATACTGTAATAGTCATTGTGGATCCAGGGCGCATCACCATCCTTGTGTCGCTAGCTGTGTTTGTGTACTTTTTAAAGGTTCCAAAGACATTGCGATATCTAGTATTGTAGATTGTGACTGCAGTAAGTAGGAAATGAATGTGCCAAAGCTCCAGCTTCTTTGACGAAGTTTAAAGGTTGTGAATGAGTTGTAAA